TAGGTACTGGTCAGGTGGCGCAGTTTGGCTTGGTGGGAGCATCAAATGGTACTCAGCGGAACACACCAAATTGGGAAATCCTGTATGTCCTTGTGACCAACAGAGCTCACCTTTCCGCTGCTTCACGAAGGTCTACAGGGTTTCACCAGAATGAGACCTGCTGGGTAACATAAACTCGCAAAAGGAACTAGCGGAAGTGCAGAATGCCCCTCTTGAGCTGGACAACAGCGAATGGTTAATGCCTGGAGAATGCACGATTTGGGAGAACTAGCGAAAGAGGATTTGAGAATATACTAACTTTTTCCCTAGCGTTTTCAAAAAAACCAAAACTCGGGTCAACTCGAGGTAAGAAAGAAATTTGCTTTGCTAAAGGATTTGCTAACAGGCCCAGCCGATGGGCTTTCATCTAAGCCTTTGTCGCCGATTCACCAAGATCGCAGGTCCTCCCAGATCGTGCGCTCATCTAACCATCTGTCGCCAATTCCCAGAAATCGCACGTTCCTCTCGCGTTTTCTCCAAAATGGCGTATTCACCAAATCAATACGCATGCATTACTTCGCAGCCGATCGACCCTCCGAATTCGCGTAATTCCCGAAATCGTGGATTATCCTCATATCTGAAGTATGGACGTGTTCTAAACTCCAACTCACCTCCCACCCTGGAGTACCGCAGCCGTCAACATCATCACAAGGGCTAATTGAAAGCGCATCGTCGAGATCTCTTGCAGTTTTCGGATCAATTGTGAATATAATTTCATCTCGTAAATCACGACGTTTAGCAAGTTCTGCCTGCAACTCGATCAAAGGTGAGCAACCAAACGAAGAGAAACCCTCATCAATGAAACTTACATCATCTATTTTCCATCCACCATCAGGCACCTTTGGTAGACACTCTATGACCTCTTCGGAAAATTCGCGTGTATCGACATTGTTCGTTATGAGTAGACCTTCAGTTTCTGCCTGGAAAGCATATGCAATCTAAATAAAACCAATAAAAAAATCTGTCATATAGCTGTTTCTTATAGTCTTCTAGCATACTCTCCGGGTATCATGAATTTCCAGGCTCGCGATGCCACCCCATACATCAGACCCCTATCTTTTCACGTGACTGCGGTTCGAGGTGATAACTGGACGGAGCCTGCTTTATGAGTGCTGCTATCGTCACCGCCTGATCAGCCCACTTTGTCCACCTGCATACTACGATTGTCTTCCCACATACCCATTCTGCTCACGCGTTTAGGAGACCTTGGCAAAAGTACAGAGTTCCTAGGGCGCAGTATGAAGAAGACATGGGGAACTCACTGTGTGGAGGGGAGGTGGGGGGGGGGCTACGACACCCATTCAGCTCGCCCCATCCAGCTACTGCTCCTACGTATCACATACCCAAAGGAATGAACCGGCGAAGCTAAGTCGTGAACAGGTTACTTACTACACCGTAGCTTGAATCCCCTAGGTTGTCACACTTGGTCGGAAGCGGGTGGGGGGGGGGTTGTATCTGGGCTTGAGGACTTTTTCCGAGTGGAGAGCTCACATAGCGAAGTATTTTAACGAAACTCACATCAATATCACCAGCCAATCCTAGTTCCTTTTCTAAGCTACCACGAGCCATGACTGAATTATCAGTCCATTCCACTATCTTTGCAAGGAACAAGAATTTGTTGAAATCCTGAAAAAATGTCATGTAGCTCAGAAGGTGAGACATATTCCCAGTACAGGGGGTACTTTATTGAAGACATACTCACCTGTGGCCTCTCGAAAAAATCTTTCGGGAGCTGAGCAGCATCAATCATCATGCGCGGTAGTCTGGAATCCGACGGGGAAAACTTTGCCCATCTTCGTTGCGAGCCAAGTGCTGGCTCTAACCGACCCATAGCAAGACGAGAATTCTTCTGTTCCACTATTCCAACTACCTTAAGCAGAGTGACACTTTTTCAAATTATGGCTGTAACTTTTCCAAGACTTTTTCCTGGTGGTAGACTCGGCTGGCAAAAAGTGCCAAGTTTTCATCTTATACTCTCTGGTCCCACACAATGAGTTGATCTAGGCTTACCTCTGCCGTTTTTTGCAAACAATCATCAGGTAGACACCATTCTTCCAGGGGTAAATCGGATAAGATACGGTAGGACTTCTTTTTCGCCGGCTTCATATTGAGTTTTTCTGCTTCAACCAATGTTATAGCTTCACCATCTTCAGCAACCACCTGAACTATCATACTGGAAAGATTACCTTAAACTGAAAACACACTGTGTCATTGCCTCAGAGATGGATATTTTCTGTTGGGCAGCATTCAGACCTCGCGATGACCTGCTGCAACGCGCGTTCCCGTTAGGCATTGTTCACAGTCTGCGATCCTGACGAAACGGCGGTTGGGCGAAAAGCAATAGATGCGTATCGATTTCGCTGGCGAAAAACGCCACGGTTTGGCGAAACGCCCGTTGATTCGTACCAAATGCCCTTTCGCCCAACCACCAGTCGATACGTATCGAAAGCTTTTCGCCGAAGCGTTTCAGAGAAACCAAGGTTCGCAGACTGTGAACAATGCCTTACCTTTGCGCTCGGAGCCTATAGATGCGAACTCAGCCGTAGAAGGTTATCGATCGGCGTCGGCTGGTAGTATTAGAGAGTGCAGGAAAATAGGAAGGTACGCGCTGCTGCCTAGTCAGCAGTCTGGTACTGATCCATGCGCGTTAAAGCGCGTCATCGCAAAGTGCGAATGCTGCCAAATCAATCTATGCGCATCTCTCAGATTCACCTATTCTCCCACACAGGACAACAAAAAGGCAGGCACTACTTTCACAAAAACTAGGACTCTAACAAAGCCCTAGCGGCCAATGCCATTCAATACCAGACTGCGTGATTAGGTAGCGAATACCCTTGTGTTCCTTCATACTCACTTCAATGCACAGGCGGCCACCGCCGATCCCGTGTGCGGCTGTGTTCGCTTCTATACGATTGGAGCGCTCTGAACTGGAGCGCGTGACGCGCGTCACCGCGAAGTCTGAACGCTGGCTGCCTAAGCGAGGCGAACATGTCCGCAGCCGTATATGTATAGAATTCTCGCCATTTGAGGGAGCGTGGCAATGATGCTAGAGGTTTATGACAGGTTGATGTTCATGGTGTTTCCGCCTCCAATGCGTGATACGCACGCCACAGTCAAGCATAGGAAGAGCCATCCGTCTAAAAGTAGCCATCCGTCTAAAAGTAGCCATATGTGCCCTTGCCTGCGCCTCTTATGTATGGCTGAATGTATGGCGCGTCGCGGAGCGCGTGGCGCATGTTTAACGAGGGCGGAGACAGAATCGCAGCAGTAATTACAAGTCTCTAACTTCACTGCCGCGTACTTTTTGGTGGCAGCTAATGCTACATTTCTGCAGCAGCCATCCCGTGAATGTGACAGGACCTACCTCGTAGGTAATCGTACACTGTGTTTTGAATCCAACTGACCTCAATTAAATCTGACGGTTGGCAAGACTCCACTTCATCCAATGCTTCGGTCGATAGTAGTACCTCATCTACCTAAAAAAAGGAAAATATTGAAGGAGCACGAAGGAGAAGAAATCAAAGCGAAGCAGGGGTTCTGTTCTAGTCAGACGATCAGATTGAAAACTTCGTGATCACGACTGGTGGAAGTCGTGTGTTCTCAATGTTTACACCAGACGAAATTGCCTTACTTAGAAAAATGTCCCGCAGTCGTGCTATTCTACAGGTTTAACTTACACCGTAGCACAGCTCGTCTGGGCGGGTTGTCAAGGACCAACAATGTAGGCAACGTCTGAACGAGACATGCAGAACATTTACGCGCTGCCTCGACACCGAAAACAACCACGTCTTTCCACCTCAGACCTTTTACTCTCTCTTCATTTCGTCTGAACCTTACGTCCACAGAACAGCTCATCGACTAATTCAATACGATTCAATAGAATAGATCCCGCTGACGTCAACAGGTCAAAAAGATTGGAAGAATTGTCCAAAAGAGGGTAGGAAAGGGTACGCCTATCGAAAGGAAGTGGAAACAAAAACTGCCAGCTTTCCTTATGCCCTCACCCCCCCTCTCCTTCGGAGGAATCTTTTCGGTGATTAGAAGAGGCCAAAGAGTGAAGGGAAAGAGTACTGCTGGATAGATACTGTTCCTAACTCCGATCCTTGGTCCTTTCGAATACAGTATGCACGAAGGCTGATTGCGGGTGGTTACTGCTAACGTCATTGCCGGAAGGGTTGGGAGAAGGCGTTCGGCCACACCCTACTCAGCCCTTCCACCAATGACGTTGGTCTAAGCGTCTGCCCCAGCCATGGTGCCCACTACATTCAAGCTCTCACAAATGCAAAGAATCCACGATGAATTCACCTGAATCTCAACACAACACTCATCTTTGAGAACAACTTCCATTTCTGTAGTGTCCGGCACAATTCCATGGATTCCTCTTTGATCAGGAACTTCCTGAAACTGTCGTAATTTCAACACACAACGATAAAAACTTGAGAAAGAGCATTAATATTGTCGTTATCACTGAGATCAGCCGGGGCTTGACGGCGACGCATGGGTTTTCGCACGGCACCAGCCCGTTTTCCATCGATCGTTGCGACTTAGGATGTTCAGTGAGAGATGGGAAAAGGACTGGCACCACGCCAAACCCCATCCCGCCGCTGATACGCCCAACTGCCTTCAGTGATAACGATTGCATGAGTCATGATCAGACGATCAGATTGAAAACTTCATGATCACTATCGGCGAAGATCGTTTGTTTCAGATGTTCAAACAATCACGATTGCCTTAACTACGGAAAATGTTCCGTTTAGTGGTGATACACATGAAGTTCGCCTTACAACATCGTATAATCACCTTCACGGATCGAAAATAATGTAGGCAATGTGAGGAAGGGTTATGCTAAACTCTTCAACGGTAACCCTGCACCGGAAACAAGAACGTCTTTCTGCCTCACCTTCACATTATCTTCATTTCGTCTGACATTGTTAGCAACACTACCAATTAAATCAGTTGTGAATAGACTACCTTTTCTGGTCCTGCAACGGCACTTTCCAGTGATGCCGTAGTCTCAATCAGTTCCTCTACGACTTCCACCACGGTATTGTCACCTCCGGACTACAAAAGGAAAAAAATCACCAAAGAGAACATGTAGGCTTGCATCAGGCTTATTATTCTCGAAGCTTATAAGCAAATGCATGTCTGACATCCCCTGCTGCATAATGTTTGTCAGAAGGAACTGCTTGTTGCCGTCGCCAGCTTCACAAGAGTTCACAGGTTTCCCCAAAGTCAGACTTCTGAAGAAAAATTCCCTCCCCCATCATCCCATCGCCGAGCTGCGCCAGCTGTGTGACTACCATTCCACATTCGATCAGACACTTTCCAAACCAAACAGGACCAACCTTCAAATCAAATCGGACACATCCCTTATATCGAATAGTTGACTAACTAGACCACATTAGGTACTGCTGCAAACCACGCCCCAGCACCCCCGCACGCTTTTCAGCGCGGTCATGGTCCCCCGGAAATCGTTTTTAAATTCTACTGCGTGACTTCCTTGTATATAATGAAACAGACACGACTCCACCCACTTTTCGAGGGAGGTTATTCAGATTTGCACCTTGGGCCTTAAGACCCACATCTTCAACCACGCCACCTTTTGGATTATTTCGCGGAATTTTGATTTTTTTCCTTTGACGGGTTTGTCTTTATAGACTGTAGACTGACTAGAGACTGTAACGGGTATCGCCGCCCTTATTGTTCCCCCGCCCAATTTGAAAAATGATCCAGTTCTGTAGTTTATGGTCCGAATTGGCAGGCTGTGGTCTCCCCTGGCTCGGAATAAAAATCATTCTAATCTAAGGCCCGTCAATGAACATGTTCATCTCAAAGCATTCTTCGAAAACGCACCTCATCAGCAACAGATCCAGACTGTTTGCTACCGGTATCTTTTTTCCAATTTTTATAAGCGTCTTCGTTAACCTTAAATAACAACTCTGGACCTTATTGAAGTAATCGAGATACTATTAAACATGTGAAACATCTGAAAGTTGAGCATAAAACTTACAACCCAATTACAACGGGGTTTTATACGAATTGCCACCACATCGCCCTGTAAAGCGCGATTTCGGTCAGGCATGCCCAAAACAGCAATATCCGGGAATTCGCTACCATTCGGATTATCGATGAAGGCTTCCTCGAATTTTTTTTGATTTATCCGTATCTGGCCCTAAAATATCGGAGCTGTGTCGAAATGGAAAAAGGAAGAATTTGAAAATATCGTGAACTCAGATGAAACCGAACGGAGAGTGACAGTGCAACAAGACCTTCAGGAGTGTTCCGTTCGCAAGACCTTCACGAATTTCATCTTCACTCATATGCTTTTTGAAAAACGTCTTGGTGGTTGCAGGACGCGACGTTGAATTCTGCGGTTGCTTTGCGTTCCTGTAAAAAAAAAACTCAATTCGCCAAGGGTTTACCGGGTCCAGTTCAATGCTCTGACAGAACGAGCAGCCTCAGCGTTCACGATAAACTCCCGTGAAAAAAAAACGGGCGGCAATATCGGCACTCATCCCCCCCCCCCC